TTACTAGCATAAGCACGAGAAAGATGACGATTCAAAGAAGCAGAGTTGAACTGTGTAAGCACATAGATCTTTGATATATTACTGTTCAAGCAATTGCTCACTGGAATATCGATTAATCGATAATTCGCGCCTAATGGAACAGCTGGTTTTGCTCTCTTCTTCGTCAATGGATACAATCTTGTTCCAGCTCCTCCTCCCAATATTATCCCTAACACACTCTAAACATCGAATTATAAAACCCTAATTTCCGAAAATTTCGGATCGATGATGAAGAAATTGAAAGAGATAGTCACTTACTCTGCTAGCGTCAGGATCAAGGCAAGTTTGTGAGTTTTGTGAATCTGAAACTGCTTTAGGAGAGAGAATCGATGGTGTTCTCTTACTTTGACGACGACGGTGGTGATTGGAGATTGTTTTCTCCGGCGTGGAAAGTTTTTCTCCGGTAAGAGAAGAGGAAGAGAAGGAGAGAGGTTTACGAAGAAATGATGATGATCTACGAGTGAGATTTGAAGAAGATGAAGAAGTAGAAGAAGAAGGAATCTTTAACGCTCCAATTGCTGCCATTGTCGCCATTGTTGTTCTCTGAGAAGGAGCTTCACTCTTCTTCTGTCACTATTATTGAGGAAGATCTTTTTTTTTATTTTGGTATAAAATCTTTATTGTTGTTGAAGTTACTTTTATACCCCTATGATTGGTTGATAATTACGTGGTTTGGTTGTAATTTTTGAGAGAAAATAGGGATATTTGTGGAAAGTTTTTGGTATGTTTTGGCGGTGAAAATATCTACGAAGAGAGAAATAAATAATTAAAAAATTGGTGATTGGTGGATGGGAGCGGATGTAAAATGAACGGTCTATTTACTGCTGTTTCTTTTTTTGTTGGTACATCTGTCTAAAATCACGCACGAGGATTTTGGACCGTACGATGTTTTCTTTATTGATTTTGTTTTTTAAATATTTCAAATTAAACTCTAAATTTTTTGAATAGTTGTTTTTTAAGGAAAAACTACAAAATCTACCACTTTTTTCCAATTTCTTTCAAAATCTATCACATTCCTATCATTTTTTCAAATCATACCACATTTATATGCAAAGTTACCATTTTGCCCTCATGACTTGACAACCTCTTTTCGCTTCCCTATTAATCTCTTTTCTCTTGAGATCTGTGCGCTTTAACCCCACATCATTATTCCCCTGAGAGAAAACGAAACGCTTTCGTCTCTCTCTCACTTTCTCTTTTCTTCTTCAGATCTTGTCTCATAATAAACGCTTTCGTTTTTGTCTCCAGATTTTGTCTCCGACTGGAAATTCTCTATTGCGTCTAGATCTTGTCCTCGATTTCATCATCTTGCTCTATTATCATGAATCCCACATCTTGTCCACCAATTGTTCTCATGTAAGGGTTTCGAATTTTATTTAGATTTTTCACCATCTATTTTGGTCCACAGATTAGTTGAGCATTATTGTCTTCACCTACCCGGATTATTGAATTTTCTTTCCTTCTATTTGCAGAATAACAAAAAAATCCAGTTGTCCCCGAGTAAATCCAGATCTCTAGCGGACACTTTCGTCTCTCTCTCACTTTCCCTTTCTCTTTCTTCTTCAGATCTTGTCTCATAATAAACGCTTTCGTTTTTGTCTCCAGATCTTGTCTCCGATTTCATCATCTTGCTCTATTATCATGAATCCTACATCTTGTCCACCAATTGTTCTCATTTAAGGGTTTCGAATTTTATTTAGATTTTTCACCATCTATTTTGGTCCACAGATTAGTTGAGCATTATTGTCTTCACCTACCCGGATTATTGATTTTTTTTCCTTCTATTGCAGAATAACAAAAAAAGCCATTTGTCCCTGAGTAAATCCAGATCTCTGGCGGACAAAACTACACCATCTGACGATGGACAATCAAGAGAATTGGATGATAAACATCATCACGCTCAATTTTTGATCTAATTATATTACTCATTCGTTTTGACTTGTCTCCGATCTAATTCTATTACCCATTCTATCTGAACTTGTCTCCGATCTAATTATATTACTCATTCGATATGAACTTGTCCCTGATCTAATTCCTATTACTCATTCGATATGAACTTGTCCCCGATCTAATTCTATTACCCATTCGATCTGAACTTGTCCTCGATCTAATTATATCACCCATTCGATCTGAATTTATCCCTGATCTAATTATATTACTCATTCGATCTGAATCTGTCCCTGATATAACATATTATTTAAATAACCGTGCAACATTTATTGCAGACATGCCCCTTCTTTGGAAGCGCCAGACGAAACTGTCTCTGCCTCTGACACAGACTCTGTCCCTGACACAGACTTTATCCCATTCAGAGGTATTGTGGTCCAGCATTCTGCATGTGCTATTGGAATATGGTAGATTTTGAAAGGTTTTTGAGATTGTGGTAGATTTTGAATGCCAGTTGTTGAAATGTGGTAGATTTTGCAATATTCCCGTTTTTTAACCCCTTAACTAAATAATAATAATACAGTTTAATAGATTTTTGGTTGGAAAATACAGATAAAGCTAACCGAAATACCCAATCCGAAAACTAAACCATATTTTAATATGGATTGAATGGATTTTTTTATATCTAATAAATCAAAATTAAATCTGAACTGAACCGAACAAAAAAATTGATCTAAAACCTTTTTTTTTTTGTAAATTAAAGATGTATATTTTTTTGAAACCAGAATCTGAAGCCCCCTCAAACCATCTATTCTAGATTTGGTTTTAATTTGGATACTACTATAAAATCTAAAAAACAAAAAAAAACGAACCGAAATCTGGATTGAACACCCCTAAAAAACGGTTAGTTTATCTGTTTTCACTACGAGATGTACATGTACTTAACAACATGTGCATATTGGCATACTTGATCTAACATATATTGATTGTCCCCAACAATTTTTTGGTGATTTCTTTAAAATAGCAAAATGATAAGAAAAATCTTTCAAATAAATTTAAATGTAATAATAATCGAAATGAGAAGAAATAAACACCTGGTTGAATAGCCATCCCCTTACTAATATTATGGAAGTACATATTTAAATATATCCTTATCCTTTATCAAAAATTACATCAAAGTATCATTACAAATAAAAGGTCAGAAGAACAAATTAACTGGTTTAGGGTTACAGAAGACAATCTGGCAGGCAAAGTAAATACAGTATTTATTATTTTATTTAGGTGATTAGAAATATCGTAAGATAAAAAGAATTGACATAGCGATACAAACATGACATTCCAAACCCAAATTAGCATTTTGAATAACCATATGGCATCTTATATAGAATATGAAGAAATATTCTCACCATAAAAACAAGAAAGAGAATTTGACTCTTCAATGGGAACATTCACATGTGCCAGTGCGTATATATGTAGATAAGTTTTGGTTCCCACCCTCGATAGTCATTAAGGATAACAATGTAAAAATACGAATCTCTATAATTTACTTTTAAAAAAAAAAAAAAAAACTTTAATCATTTTAAAACTGTTTAATAACCAATCATGAACAAAACATATTTTATATATTACTTATTGCATATATATGGAGATACATAGCTAGAGTTTTAGTTTGGAGTACAAATAGTCTAAAATCTTCTAAAATATCCTAATGGACTTAAAATGGGTATCCACATAATACCCAATATTCAACGTGGATTCACGTAGAACATCGCGCCACCATACGAACATGGTATGTAGGAGAAATATGAGGCCCAAACTTAGAAGTCGCGAGGTAATTTTTTATTTTTTATGCTTCCGTATCGCAAGTGATACTTATCAATCTACTTAACATTTTTGAAGTACAAATTTGCTCCTCTAATCGGGTCGGGTTTTTTTCTGATTTTGACCCGGAAATCTTCAATCGGATCTTTCCTTAAATTATGGCAAAATTTAAAAACGAAAATACCTAATAAAATATAAATTATATATATTTTCTCAACTAATGACTATATCTAAACTATTTATTTATGGTATATTCTTTACAATTTTATAGATTAGGAAATCAAATATGATAATTTAATGATAATATAACAAATTTGAGCTAATTTCCTAAAACTTCTCTACCTAATTTAAACATAAATATATGATTCTCATTTCACTTTTATTTGATCTTATATTTATATTATTTTGAATTATTATAAAATATATATAGTTAATAAATTTTAGTTTTTTTTCTGCATATGTTATGATTCGAAATTTTTAAAACAGACATATATTACTCAATCGATGAAGAAAAAAATATGTGTATAATCTATATTAACATTTTTTTAAGAACAAATTGCACATTTAATCGGGTCGTTTTTTTATTCTGACCCGAAATTGAGTCATTCAGATCTTTTCTTAATTTCTACAATTATCTAAAACGGGACAGTATACCACGGGTGAGATCCTAAAATTAACAAATCAAAATACAATTATTTAGTATTTTAAGATACAATTATAAATTATTTTTACGGGTTGGTCCAAAACCACATACTAATTTTAAAATATATATATAATATGGAAACCATTTGAAAGTAAACTTTTAAATTGACTCGAATAATATATTTTTTAAATAAAAGTGTTATTAAAAAAATAACAAAATGATGTTTAATTTCACATGACGGGATTATATGGTGAGTCGGGTTTGGGTCGATATTAATACGGGACCATATACCACGGGTGAAATCCTATAATTAACAAATCAAAATACAATTATACAATCTTAAACACTAAACAAAACAAATACAACTTAAAATTTTTATTTTTTTAGATACAACGCATGTGACCTGCGATGTACAACAAAAAAATATCATACACAACAAATTCATCAGTTTATAAAAAAAAATAAAAAAATCAAATAATTATACCGCGGGTCATATCCTAGTTAATGATTATTATGGTTACAAGTATATTTCAATATTTATTATTCGTTTTAAATATGTCAATATTGTTTAATGTAATTAAAAAAAAGAGAGATTTTATTGATAACTTCTCAAATTATAACTACTTTATTCAAAGCACCACCTTCTAGAAATGTTGATCAATACTAAAGATACTGGTTACAAAACCTTATTTCTTATGTAACCATTTTGATCTTCTAAGTCCTTTTCGAACCAACACGTCCACCATCATGACGACGACGACTCCTGCGAGATGAGTGAGACTCTTGAACATTAATGGTCTTTAACCCGAGCTTCTTACCGTTCATTCCCTTAACGGCATCCTTCATTGATTTCTCATCTTTAAAACTAACAAATCCATATACCTTCCTCGTTGTCATGTAGACTGAACATTCGTACTCGTCTTCAGAATCATTATACTCATAATCACTTCATAATCTCTTTCGCGAATGACCTGTGAATCAAAGATAACCAAATTATAAATGAATAAAAGTCCAATACCAATGCGGGAAAAGTGAAAAGAAAATCGAACATTAGAAGCTATAACGTCGCCAAACTGAGAAAATGCATTCTTGAGATCATTTTCTTCTGTGTCTGACTCCAAATTGCCAACATAGCAAGTGAATTCAACATTTGTAGACGCCATTTTTTGAAAGAGAGTTAGAGAGATGAAAAACAAAGAGATTTGTGATTGACGTGAGAGACACTTAAGAAAATTTATAGAAAAGGTTAAAGGTAAATGCTATTAAACCTAATATGGTTTGAAACTAGTTTCTTTTTTCTTGGAACTAGTTTACTTTTATAGTGGAAGGCGAGAGAGGTTTAAGTTTTCTTGGAACAAGTTGTTTAGATGATAATGAGAAAAAAACAGTCAAAGAAAACTCAAATTTTCTTAATCCAAGATTATTGAATTTTGGGATTTTTGGGTTTTAATTGGAAAAGAAGAAACACAATAAATTAAAGATCGCTAACTTTGACTTTGATGAGTCTACAATATCTTAAAGTTCAAAAAATACATATAACGTTTATGCATGTGGTAAGTGCTATTGAATCTAAAAAAGTTTTAAACTAGTGAATTTTTAGGAACTAGTTTCCACTAAACATGATACTACTTTATATGGAAGGCCAAAGGTTTGAGTTTTGTTTGGTCATGGTCCATGTATATTGAGTTGCTTAGATGATATTTAGAAAAAAAAACAGTCAAAAGAAAACTCAAATTTTCTTAATCCGAGTACATATTGAATTTAGGGATTTTTGGGTTTTAATTGGAAATGAAGAAACACAATAACTTAGTATATAAGTTTCATTCACTTTGACTTTTATGAGTTTACGACTCAACAAATGTAAATTTAAGAGTTCTATTTGACAAATTAGGCAAATTTGAGATTTTATTTTTTCTTATTCCCAAAGTGATTAAAAGAAGAAAGTAACTAAGCATAAGAAAATACTAGGCAGCTAAAAAAAGAAACAAAGGGTTCTTCTTGAAGCTGATTCGAAAATCCAAAAGTAAAAGTATTTGAAGTTAGGGTCTCATTATTGCTTTTGAGACGTTGGCATTGCAAGAGATACTGAAGTTGGAATATCTTTCCACTGTTGTGTAACAGTTTTGATCTGAGTGAAAAAGTTCACTCCTGCTTTGCCTACAACAATGTTCCGCTTGAGTATATAAGCAAACATTATATATTTTCTGTTATAACAAAATTAATGTTTCTCGTATCCAGGAACCTGTTTGTTATAAGAGAAAATATATAAACTTCTCGGACCAGTCGATCTTTGCATTGTTTTCAAGATTACACAAAAAATATTAAGTCAACAATATCAGTCCAGCAAAGACAGATCAAAATATTTCTGCGGTTCTTGATGATTACTATTTCGTAAGAATGTGGAGGGTAGTACAATATTTAAGGGTTGAGTATGTTGCAATAGCAGTAAATATGGAGAATGTTTAGCACCATCATCTACACCAGACTGAATCAAGCGGCATGTCCGTTCTTTTGCCTATCCACATCAAAATTTAGCAATAAGGTCAGGCCCGGCGGAGATGGCAAGCCAGTGAAGCCACCGATTAGGGTCTCAAAATTTGAGGGCCTTTTTACCTAAAAATTTGTTAAGTTTTCTTATATATAATAATTTTTGTAGGGCCTTTTAAAAATATTGTGGGTTTTTAGAGACAACTACAACATTTTTTTTAAGGGTAAAAATCTAATTTAAAAAAAATAAAATTATTGGCTTTAATTTTGCTTAGGGCACCCAAATTTATCGGGCCGGCACTGATAAGGTATACATATAAACAACCGACAAAAATGCAACAAAAACCACTGTACTCAGTGCCATGAATCTCTGTCCAGCGGCACCAAACCCAGCAGCAATCAAGTAGCCCATTTAAAGTTGCATCGATGTTGGCATCAGGTAAGACAAGTCCATGATTTTTTGTCCCCATATTTGACTGAGTAGATATTTTACAAGTAAATTGACATAGAGTCATTTCGAAACGCTAAGGAAGAATTTTACAGAGGAAAGATGCAAGATGTTACCTGAATACGTTTGCATTCCGGCCTTTAAACAAAACAATTCAATTCGGAATAGACAAATTTAACCAAAAATTTAAGACACCAAAAGCAATTCTGCCATCATCAGTTGTTGTTAACAGATTTAGAGAGTTTAAGGGTATAATTATATTAACGTTTTATCAGACAGCTGAACTAATTACACAGGACACTGACTAGATGAAAATTTGGTCAAACGCAAAGCCAAGTCTACAGGCTATAAAGGAGCAACATAAAAAAAAAATACCTAGACCATGTACATGGGTGATTTTAATTGAGTATCAGTAGCCCAAAAATCATTTTTTAATAGACCAAAGCATGTATTTGGGCTTGATCCGTATCAGCCCACTGATACCTTTAATACTCAGTATCAGGTGACGTGGCAGCACACGGTTGGTCGCTGAAAGCAGAGAAAAAAAAATTCACTTCCCCTTCTCGATTCTTCTCTCCTCTCCTATGGCCTCGTCTCTCCCTCTCCACTTAGGGCTTGATTGGTTCTGCCGCTAGCATCCGCCTAGCGGTTGCTAGCGGGCGGTTGCGGTTGTTAGCAGTTGGTACCAATCATAGAAACCGCTCCATACCGCTTCGAACCGCTCCAAATCGCTGGATTTCAAAAGTTTTTTCCCGCAAGCGTTTAGGATTGCGAGCGGTAGCGGTTGGATTTAAATTTACAAAAAAAAAGTTTACTTATAATTATAATAATATATATAAAAATGTACTTCAGTGTTGGAGCCAAGAAAAGGCGTTTATGTATCAAACCGTCGGGTACAAAATAGAGAGTAGAGACTACAGTTTTGTTTTGTAACCAAAAGACTCAAGAGTGGGAAAATATTTACGGATCGTAAAATTTTGTTTTCTTGTTTAGATTTTTTTTTTTTTTTTTTCAAACTTCTTTTTATATTAAAACCTCTCACAAAATGGGCTTAGCCCTGGAAAAATACAACAGGCTCACAACTACGTTGATAGGTTTAAAATTAAAATGGAAACTGATCACGCAAGTTGGTTTAGGTTTAGAAGTTGGTTTGATAAGATTTTGATTTCTGTTGGAAATAAACCCTAAGAAAATCACGCAAGTTAAAGATGGCTGACGACAGCAGCACCGACGGTGTAAGAGCCCCTACCCAAAGCTACGGTCGTCAGAACCATCTCCGCCGGATAAGCAGAGAAACACTAGACTTAATAAGCTCTTTACCTGATGTGATCCTACATGATATACTCTCCTTTATGCCGACCAAGTTCGCCATCAGAACTTCCCTCTTGTCAAAACGATGGAGGCATATATGGTGCCAAACACCGTCTCTTTCATTCGAGAACTGTAGACTGGAGTCTCCTTCTCTAAACGAAATCCTAACACGTTACACAGCTCCCAAGATGGTGAAGTTTCACCTCCATACCATCGCCATGAACAATATTCCCCACCATATCAACAGGTGGATCAAGTTAGTCATGTCCCGTAACGTCGAGAATCTGTCCCTGGATTTATTTAATTTTGCTGAGTATAAGTTTCCTGCTTTCTTCTACATCAATTCTTCTGTTAAGCAACTCAGCCTTAAGTTTAGCCCTTTTGATATGGTGGTTCCTAGATGCTTAGTGTCTTGGACATCTCTGCGGAAGTTGTACTTAAGTAGTTGTAGTCTTTCTGATGAATCCATGGCTCAGATTCTATCTGGTTGTCCGAATCTTGAGAGGTTAAAGTTGTGTTCCTGCAATGCACTCAAGATTCTTGATCTCAGTAAATCAATGCGTCTGAGAACATTAGAAATAAACAGCGACACTCGGTTCCCCGGGACACTGAAGATTGTGGCACCATATATCCATTGTCTCATATTGAAAAGCTCTCATCATTTACCATGTGTTTTAGTTGATGTCTCGTCTTTAGTCGAAGCGAGACTGAACATTTCCATTGACTCACTTTCAAAAACAATCAAGGATGATATTCTTCAATTCATGGTGCTAAAGATGTTGGAAAAGTTGCAGAACGTGGAGAAGCTTACTTTTGGGGTAAATTTGCTTAAGGTAGATGGATTAGTTTTTTTATTCGTTGATTATTTTTTTAAGTATATGAACGTTAAATTCTATGTTATATGCATGAAACTAATCACGGTATTCAATGTCTTTCTGTTAGATGTTATCTCATGCCAAGCTTCGTGGTGTTCCTTTTCCGAGGTTTAAGGTTAAGTCTTTGACTCTTGACACAGGGGTCTTTAAGTATGTTATTTCTGGTATAGAAAAAGTGTTACAAAACTCACCTGATTTAAAGAAGCTAATATTACTCACAAAGGATAATTGCTACCATAAAAAGGTATATTCACTACTAAGAACCATGTTTTTACTATCCTTGAACATTTTGTCTACCATCCAAGAACCATGTTCTTTTTTATCTGTTGTGCAGCCTCGGTATCTTGGCGACTACATGGATTTGCAAGCCTTTAATCTGGATCAATGTTGGAGATCAAAATATGGTGTCGTTTGGAACAAGTCATGTTTGGATAAGCCCCGGCTTTAGACATGTGTTGGAGGTGCTACAGCACTCGGTCCATTCATTTTTTGTCTTTTTTTTTAAAAACGAAATCTATTAAAATTAGGGTCAAATTTTTCTTTTTTCTAAAAACATGAGAAAAAGGCATTTTTTCCAGCTCACGGACCTCAAATTTATTGAGCCGGGCGTGGTTTGGATGTAGAGCCAGTGCACGTTGTTTCATTTGTAGAACTTACGCTTAAAAATACAAAGGCATTAGACAAGACGGTCTACTGTTGGAACTTGGAAGACCATTACCTTAGGTTTAAAGAGTTGGTTCCAACACTTTCTCACAACTGTAATGTCTCCATTGCCCTCTACCCCAAACGTTAGATTAGTGGTGAATCATAGGGTCTCACTTATAAGAAACATAAACCCATGTTAAAGCACGGGTCATAATTTAGTTATTATTTGATGTGATCAGCACAACATTACACCATTCTTTGTAAGCCTTAAATTCAAACATAGGCAACTAAATTTCGTAAAACAAATATCGTCATTGGCACTAAAAATCAAATTTAGAGCTTCACCACAATGGGACTTCTCACACGATGCTTCTTGTCTGACCAAACCAATTCTCCAAACACATAGCCCTTAGCCACATTTCCCTTACTTTTCACAAGGATCACTTTAAATGTCTTTTGCTCTCCAACTTTGGTAAAATTCAAGCTCGTGGGCTTCACCGTGACATAAACACCTTGTGGGTTAGCCACCCGGACAGTATAAGTCGAAGGTCGTCCAACGTTTTTAACGGTCCTTGAGACGGTGACTTTGTTTGATGACAAGTTTGGAACTGTGATGGAAGGATAGTTGAGGTTAACAAGACTGGTTTTGGGGCTTGAACAAGTAAAGTTATTTCCCGAGAAGACAGAGATTTGTGATGCATTGTATCTAAGTGAGCATAAGAAGTTGAGGTAATCCTTGATGCCTAAATCGTATATGAGACCGGGATTCACAGCTAGATTTGGTTGGACGTGCCCTGCCCCAAAACTGAAAGGCGTTGCCTTCATGTTGGTTGCATTTTGGATAGGTCCAGGAATGTCATCCATTGTTGTTGCTGAAAGGGAAAAACACAAACAAAACGAAACACAAAGTATGAAAATATTACAAGACTAAAAAAAAATCATTTAATTTCTAACCTAAAACCAAGAAAACAGAACATGGCCATGGAAGAAACAAGATTTGATTATAAGTCAATGGTGTTATATGCCGCAAATAGTAGATGTTAATGTGTTTTAAGTGATAAAGACTGAGACTTCCATTTTGACAGCAACGTTCTTACCGGTAGTCATGATGGCAGAGCGGATAGCTGCGGGGCTCCAAGAAGGATAACGGGTTTTGAGAAGGCCGGCAATGCCAGAGATATGAGGACAAGACATGGAGGTTCCTGAAATAGCATTGAACAGAAGTCGTCGAGGATCAAACTGTTGGTCTGTTGGAGATACTGCGGCAGTGTAGGCAGCGATCACACTCACACCAGGAGCAGTTATGTCAGGCTTCAGAATCTGAGGAGCCACTGTGCTTGGACCTTTAGAAGAAAACGAAGCCATTACAGGCGCTGGTTTTAATCCCAAATCTGTCCTAGAAGGAGTAATGTGCGCAATCGGCTTCCTACATCAACGAAACAAATTTCTTTTAGCACTTGAAACAAGTTAAGTTTTAGGTAAAGTGAATCAAGAATCCTACTTGGTTTGGCTTATATATCTTGACACAGCAAAACTATCCTTAGAAGTGAGCTGTGTGGCTGGGAGGACATGCGGATCAGCGGTTAGATCATTCCCGGTGACATTAGTATTCTCAAGAACCATCCCAACGCCACCAGCTAAAGCCACGACCCGACCCTTTTCCACCCTCGGGTTCTGTCCTCTGAGACACACTAATATCTTCCCCTTTGCCTTTATAGGGTCAAGCGATCCAAGTTTGCACAATTGTCTACAACAAAGAGAGAGATTAATTCAAAATTAACAATTAACATAAAACGTTTGGCATAATTAAGTAAGGAGATTAGCCAAACTCACGCATCCAAAGCTGAAGCGTTCTTAGCTTTTGCATTTACAGATGCCATGATTGGATAGAACTTAGCATGTGGTAATGCTGTGGATGACAAACTTTGTCCCTATCAATGAAAAAGATTCAAGAACTCATTTTCAAGATTTGAGATATAGAGATATGATCCATTTTCTTGGACTTAATATCTAACCTTGTAATGTTTTCCATTACCGAGAACAAGGTTGCTAGCAAACTCACGGTCCATGGTGCTAGCACCAACGGTGATCTGCCACGGTGCGACGTTGGAAACCGTACTATCCGCCGGTCCAGAGTTTCCGGCGGAGCAAACAACCACGATCCGCTTCTTAGCGGCGTGAAACGAACCAATAGCGACACTATCGTTAAAAAACGAGGTTGGCTCGCCGCCTAAAGAGACGGATATGACGTCAGCTCCGTCGTGTATGGCCGCGTCGAAACCGGCAAGGACGTCAGCGTCGTAGCACTCATTGCCTTTGACTGGCGGCCAACATACTTTGTATGCGGCTACTCTGGCGCGAGGAGAGCCACCTTTGGCCGTGCCGTTGCCTTGGCCGAAGATGCTGACTCCAGGGACGAAATCTCCGGCGGCGGTGGAGAGAGTGTGGGAGCCATGGCCGTCGAGATCACGTGGAGACTCGAAGGTTGAGTTTAGAGGTCCTACGGCGGCTGCGTAGCCCTTGTGAAAGTACCTTGCTCCGATCAGTTTCCTTCATTCACATTTGTTATTAGCTTAACATGTTAGTGTAAAGATTTACAAGATTTACTTAAAAACGTTTTTACACGTTTTCACTGTTTTTTTTCACTATAGCAACTGGTAAATGGTAATAACTGTTTTTAGTTTACAAAGTATTTTACAGGGTTTCATTGTATCAATTTAGTTTTTTTACCTATAACTAAAGGGAATCATATATGAATATCTTTTTGTTTCTTTTTAGGATTCCAGTTCTATCTTTTGCCAAGAAAAACAGAAAAAAGGTTGAAAAGGTATAAGAGAACGTTTAGAATAAAAATGTGAAGATAAAAAAGATTCTACAAAAGTAGGTAAAGTGAGATGTGAAATATATGGTCAATTGTGTAAGTGTTAATGTAAATATACTAGGATATGACACGCGGTACACCGCGGGTTAATTATTTGATTTTTTTTTATTTTTTTATAAACTGATGAATTTGTTGTGTATGATATTTTTTGTTGTATATCGCGGGTCACATGCGTTGAATATAAAATATAAAAATTTTAAGTTGTATTTGTTTTGTTTACTGTTTAAGATTGTATAATTAAATATTGATTTGTTAATTCTAGGATTTCACCCGTGGTATATTGTCCGGTATTAATATCGACCCAAATCCGTCCCACCATATACTCATGTCCTGTGGAATTAAACATCATTTTGTTATTTTTTTAATAACACTTTTATTTAAAAGATATATAATTCGAGTCAATTTAAAAGTTTACTTTAAAATGGTTTCCATAATATATATATTTTAAAATTAGTATGTGTTTTTGGACCAACCCGTAAAAACAATTTATAATTGTATCTTAAAATACTAAATAATTGTATTTTGATTTGTTAATTTTAGGATCTCACCCGTGGTATACTGTCCCGTTTTAGATAATTGTAGAAATTAAGAAAAGATCTGAATGACTTAATTTTGGGTCAGAATAAAAAAAAACGACCCGATTAAATGTGCAATTTGTTCTTAAAAAATGTTAATATAGATTACACACATACTTTTTTATTCATCGATTGAGTAATATATGTCTGTTTTAAAAAATTTGAATCATAACATATGGAGAAAAAAAAAACTAAAATTTATGAACTACATATACTTTATAATAATTCAAAATAATATAAATATAAGATCAAATAAAAGTGAAATGAGATTCATATATTTATGTTTAAATTAGGTAGAGAGGTTTTAGGAAATTACCTCAAATTTGTTATATTATTATTAAATTATCATATTTGATTTCCTAATCTATAAAAATTGTAGAGAATATACCATAAATAAATAATTTAGATATAGTAATTAGTTAAGAAAATATATATAATTTAGTTTTTATTAGGTATTTTCGTTTTTAAATTTTGTCATAATTTAAGGAAATATCCGATTGAAGATTTCCGGGTCAAAATCAGAAAAAAAAAACCCGACCCGATTAGAGGAGCAAATTTGTACTTCAAAAATGTATAGTAGATGCATTGAATTGAGTGTTATTTCTATAACTAACATTCTATCTCATTTAAATAGATTTTCTTTAAAAAAAGAAAATTAAACATGATATTTAATATTTAAAATGGTTTAGTGTTTTTTTGATTAAACTTTTTTGAATATAAAATGTATTTTTAAAGAATATAGTCATCTAGTCCAATCACTCAAGGGATTATCGAAAGTTCCAAACAATGAGTTCTATTTTTCTTTTTACCAAAAACAAACCCACGGATGTTGAAATACGGAACTCAAATTCCAAATACGACTTTTTTTTTTGATAAAAGACTCCAAATATGACTTGTTACAACCAACACGTGTCTTCTTTTTGTTGATGAGAAATTGTGAATTTGATTGATATGAAACAAATACACATAATTCCACCACTAGGTGTGTATGTCAGTATGTGTGCCAACTCCTAAAAAATGAGAACAGATAATTCCAGAATTTGTTTGTATCTTATGATAATTACTTAACGTGAAAATGATTGAACACCAAATTTGAAAGAATAAAAATTGTAAAAGATAGAAAAAGAACCTATTGCAATGGAAAGTGGCATCTTTTTGGTTTTGACATATTCCCTTCCATCTTGAAGGAATTGGTCCCAAGCCTTCATCTCTAAAGCTCTTTGATTCTGGCCACACACCTTTTATACACATACATAATCATATTTAAAATATTAGTTTATGAAATTATAATCAACAACTTATTCTTATTAATACAAAGATAGTAAGTGGGATTAAGTCATTATAAGCTAAAAATAAAAATGCATAGTGGTGTCTCATAATCATACAACCTAATGAACCAACCATTTTAGTTATGGCAACTTCTATTGCTTTTCTGAATCAATATTAAATTATTCAAAGATGGGTATGTTAAAGATCTCATGCATATCCCAACTTTATCATCCTAAGCCCCAAGATTCTGTGAGAAAGACAAGAAAAAATTCGAACTAAATACTCCAATTGATAACCCAATAGAAAGTGTTTTTCTTTTTTTTACTAATTACTTAGCATCATCTAGCTAAAACCGAAGAATTACGAAAAATACATTTCAAAATCTTTAATTAGATCACCATATGTTTAAATGTTGGTTCATCATCTACAAAAATGGTTAAGATCTGTTATAGTAATTCCAGTAAAATTAGTTTCCTTTGGGTTTTGAGAAAGTTTTGGAACTTTTAGTTAGACTTGTAGTCTTTTTCGGCCAGGACCAGCCTGTGCTTAGTACACTTCTTTCAAACAAGGTTCAACTATAGTACATAGCGCAATCTCCATGAAAGGATACTAAGACCACTAGACTACCCACTTGGTACCAATACTTTTTTGATTTTTTGAAAACTTAAGTTAATTATTAGTCTATAAGTCATAACTCATGTATACTATATTTAGAATACACTATTGAATACTCTCATACCCACTAGTGAAGTTACCTGCAGTAAATGCATTAACTTTATGTTAAAAGACAATTGCATGGTGCCAAAAGCACCTTAATTGTACGATGAATTATTCACCAACTTTTCTGTTCCAGAAACAAAAATCTCTAAATTTATATAGAAGATTTCTATTCACATCTCGATAAGTAGTTATTTAATTCGTTTTCCTAACTTCTTGTGAGAGAAAACTATTTACTACAGAATTTGGTATACTTATAAGGATTTAGTGTTTATGATTCAAGTCAACTATACGATGCAGTCAACATATAGAATATTAAAGATAAGAAATGCCATGAGTTTAGTTGAGAGAAGAGAATGTGCATATTAATGAATATGCATATGCGCACATGACTTCATATATATATGGCTGATTTGATTCTTGCTGACATCTAGAGATCTTAACTACTAGAAAATTTTTTTTAAAAAAATTATTAGAAAATCAAATTCACATAAAGAATATATATATTTCTTGTAATGCAAGTTTGAAAAAATATATGGTTTTAAAAGTGGGTACGTATGTTCCCAAAAACCAATCTCAAGGCTCTCAAAGTTGCAAAGGTTGACTAGAACTAAAGAAATATTAATTAAAACAAAGAAGGATTAAAAAACGAAAACGATGTGAAAACGAACCCGTATCGAGATTTGCGATAATGGTATCTTCTCCGAATCTAGCTTTTCTCCAAATGGAAGAGGAAGGAACGTAAGAGTTATGTTCTAAACCCAAGAAGTCCCATGATCGAGTAGTGTGAAGCTTCAAGGCTTTGTTTGGGAAGACAGACACAACTTCCGGGTGTTCTTGAGGAATAATCAAGAAAGGAGAAACAGAGTCAACTCTTGAAACACAAACAGAGAGAAGATAACATGTAATGTTTGTATACTTACTGGAGATTGCATATGCAAGGTCATGGTCAAGATGAGCAGCGAATCCGTTGATGTGCTTTGTGTATGAGTAGAAAATGGCGTCTGTGGCAATCTCACGGCTGGTGTTTAACATTATCAAGACTTAAGTTAATGAAAATGGTTAACATATTAAGTTTTTAAAGGGTTGTTTGTTTAGAGAACCTTCCAATGAAGGAACCAAGAAAGTCGTAGTGGGTTTCTTTGACGCGATCCATGGCATCTTTTGTTATCTCTCCGACATGAGAGTGAGCTCCAAAGTACACCACATATGAAGATGACTGAAATTACACAAAAGGAAATGGTTAATAAAGAATGTGAAATGAAAAAAAGATTGTTATAGTGTAAATGGGTAATGAAATGAATGTACATCTTTAGAAGCAAGAGTGGGTTTCGAGCTCGTGTGGACAAGAAGAAGAAGAAAGAGAAGAAACGAGAAGGTATGTGTAAGCTTCATTCTTCTTCTTCTTCTTCTTCTTCTACTCTTTTTCTTTGTATCTTTTTTGTTGGACTTTCTGTTTTGGTTTTGGCTTGTACGTTGCTTCTTTATAAAGGGATTGCATAAAAGAGTCGGGTTTTTTTTTTACTTTTTTTAATTGATTATTATTATTGTTTTCAAAAACAATTTTGGTTGTGCCGTGTGTGTGTTTTTTTTTATGTATAAAAGTAATAAGATATTGAAGCCCTTTTTAGAACTTGAAATCCTAATTTTAGAACGATATGTTGATATATATCTTTCAAAACACATTATATTATGACACCATTGTTTATATTGTTCTTTTAATTATTGATTTGCAACAATAATTTGTTGCTTAAAAAGGGAAGCTTAGGGTAATAAGGTGGTTTTGTAATATGAATGATAAGATGCTCAAGTGGTCACAATGCGTCACAATAATGGAGTTTCCATTGATGCTATATTTGGCAGAAAAAACTGATAATTTATGACCTGTTGGTTTGGTCCTAATCTTATCATTGTCTTCTCTATACTTAAGAGGAAAAACTTATATTCTAAATGAATTATAAGAAAAAAGCTATAAGAAAAAATTCATGCAATTGATACATCTGGTGAGAAGTATACAAAAATAGGGACATAGCACAACGATAGATGCGTTAAAATAAAGGGTAAAAAGCATCATGTGATAAAGAAAATTAGATGTCAAACTTTTTTTTTTTGCTTAAATGTGAAATTTATTTATAATCAGTAATGGCTATACAAACATAATTAGAAAAAAAGTTTCAAAAAGATACTTCAAAATAGTTTGGGGAAAATTCCCAAAAAAAACCTCAATTATTTTTTATTTGGACGTTTAATACCCAATTGTTTTCGGTTGGAAGAAAAATACACATATTAATAAAACTGTGCGATTTAATATCCAAACAATTAAATGTTGTTATTTTCATACTCACGATCTCACAACAAAAATAAATTCCAATTTTACCCTTACTATCTCAATTAATTATTTTTTTGGTAGGCATCTCAATTAATTATTAACTTTTAGATTATGTGACAATAGTTTTTTATTTAAATAAAAATTAATTTTATTAATATTTTATTTCTTTGTTATCCCAAAAAAAATTCAAAAAAAATTTCAAAATAATTTGTAGTTTATTTTACAAATAATTAATTTTTAAAAATTAAAAATAAAATTAATTAGCAAAAAATTTAGAAAAAGTAAAAAAAAAAAATTAGCCATTTTTATGAATTGATAAATCTTGAGAGAGACGATGAGATTCAGATTGAGATTTTGTCGAAAATAGTTTCATTCGTGAAGGATATATATTCGAATAGAGAGTTTCTCACGACGAAGAAAAAGTTCATATTGATGCTCGTTGATATCATATGCATCACGACGAATCAAATCAAATTAGTTTTATTGGCGATGAAGATTTTGGATAGGATTAAAAGGAGATTGTGAACGGTTATCGAATTTGATGGTTGCAAAAGAGGACGATGGAGATTGTTTACCGGTAATTCTCGTAGATATTAATCGAAAAAATTAGAATCGAAGAGGAAACGTCTCTTTGACTTTGCAAAGACGGAATAAGATTGTACAAATGACTATTTTTAATATTTTTGATTTTCTACTAATTTTTATGTTTAATTTTAAAATAAAATAATTATATAAATTTAAAATTTATTTTTTAAGGCAACATAAAATAAAACATTAACAAAATTAATTTTTATTTAAATAAAAATAATACCACGTTATTTAAAAGTTAATAATTAATTGAGATGGTAAGGGTAAAATTGGAATATTTTTTTTGTTGTGAGTTCGTGAGTATGAAAATAACAACATTTAATTATTTGGGTATTAAATCGCACAGTTTTATTAGTATATGTATTTTTCTTCCAACCGAAAATAATTGGGTATTAAACGTCCAAATAAAAAATACATTAGGTTTTTTTTGGGAATTTTCCCAAATAGTTTGTAATAGAACAGAGGTTAGAGTACGTTAGGTACTGCGAAGTAATGTCAAAAAATCGATTGGCAGTAACTAAACGTTTAATAGGAATCTAAGCGCATAAAACGACTAATTGGAACCTAGACATTAAGAAATCATTGAATTAATTTTTATATGTTTAAATAATATGTATCGCTAAATATAAATTTCCACTCATTTTGAAATTAAAATCTAGCAATGTAATTACTAAATTTGATTTTAAGATAGAAAAATCAAATATCATAGAGTTCAAAAAAAAAAAAAAAAAGAAGCTAAAAGCTTGAAGGTCAAGATGATGAATTAAATCCAAAATCCCATGTACTTTTCTTAAAGTATTAAAAATCTAAAATTTTAAATCAAAAGTTAACCAGAAATTAATCGATTTGAGAGATTTTGTCCGATTTGAACCGCTTAGATTGGGTTTCGAACTTTCTCAGCGTTTTGATAAAAATTGTTTTGTTTGGGACCGTCTGGATTTCAAGGCGGCGTAAATTTTTTTCCGAACATTGCAAAAAAAATTACTAATTAAATATTAGAAAATGTCATTTTAGAGTTGAATTGCTATATAAATATAAATCTATTGAATATACGTGTATACACCAAATTATATATTGCTTTAACATTATTTTTTTTCTGATTTTGTTTTCCTTTTTTATGGGTTTACAAAGCTATTATAATGGTTTAAGTTTGGTTTGATAACAAACTTTATATATATGATGATTTGAATTCGGTTTACTATTATTTTTAAAATATATAATTATTAATTTAGCTATATATAGTAAATTCATTTTTCTGCTAAAACAATTACGCTACAAATTACAGTCAGATCCATAGTAATAGAATCCTAAAATAAAATGTATTATCTTTGAAAAAAATAAAATAAAAGAAACGTATATTAAGTAATGACTTTAACAAAATAAAAACGTATTTAAGCAATGGAAGACTAATAAGTAGAAACGTCGTAAATGGCAAACTATTTAACATAATATCATATTTTCTCCGTTAATTCAGCCATAGTAATAGGAAAAAAATACGAAAAGTATTAGCTTTTGAGAAGAAAATTCAGAAAAGTATTAGTGTTGGTAGTCTAGTAGTGAAAACGTTTAGGAACGGCAAAACAATAATTAAGAAAAGTATCATATTGATAGGCTAACTAATAGTAGTAGAGTAGTACATTGAAAGAGCTTTTTTTTTTTTTTTTGCAATAAAACATCTTTTTCCATTGTAAAATTGCTTGAAAGGAAGACATTTATTCAGCTTACAAATAAAACAAATACATTTTATAAACTGTTTATGATGAAAAGATACAAACGTAGAAGCCAATTTGACGACCATCCATTAGTCCTACTCAAGTGTAGATTCTCTAGAATGTGGTAACACCGACAACAAGCTCCAACGATAAGTAATCTCTTTCGGTTAATTTGGGTTCTTCTAACTCGACTTCATCACCATTTATCACCAGACGGGGCCCAAGACTTCTTATTCGGAGAGAAAACCCTAAGCCAATACCATAACGCATGTTTGTACCGAGGTTGTAACAACAAATAACTATAGGATTTTCGGGGAGAACGAAGTGACTTCTTTATTAACGACGAACGAGATCGGTTAGTTACAGGAAGCAAATGACGAAAGTATAGACTATGAGATACGAACAATCAACGAACGTATACGCAAAGAACTATGACTAACGAACGAAGGTTTACGCAAAGAACTACGAACTACCAACGACCGTATACGCAAACAACTACGAACGAAAGTATACGCTGTGAATAATTCTCTGATTCTTTGGATATTAACTTGTGTGTCTTCCTATTACAAATAGTGTCTTATTTATAGGACAAGCATTGTGACCTAGAGTCTCTTGTGCTCTCCCCAGCAAATTACTGTTTTACCCTTTTCAGCTTAATGGGCTGATTTTGTGAGACAACAGGCCCAGTAAATAATTGGGTCTCTGTTTGGGCCAAATGATATTTTGTGGGTGAAACCCATATCCAACAACGCATAACATTTACTAATGTACTATCAGTCTCTCTAGGCAAACTATTGGAGATAAATTATGTTTAATTAATATATTGGTGTTAATCTTATGAGAAATCTTCGAAGGTTGATCTTTCGCCTCAATCTTTCTTAATACACCCCAAAATAAGAGCAAGAGAAGCAAATGTAGCACCCATGACCAAGATCGTTCTTTTTGTAGTGCATGTTTATTGACTAATGACTCCCTAGTCAAACTCAAACACGACTCTCCCTTTCAAATAATAACTTTGAGCCACAATAAATTTGAGTTTAAGGACCACCATTTCAATTTTAATCATAGCATAGTGCTAAAGGTTGAAAGCTTTTGACTTTCCCAATCATGGGTTCGATCACCTACTTATTTATTCTTAGGGTCTTTTTTTTTTTTTTGCCATGTTCTCTTGAGGTCCTTTTCAAATAGAAAAATATAAAAATATATACAAAACATCATATTTATTAAAACTTGTTTGTTTCAATATTTCCCTTTTTCTTTGCTTTTATATACATGTCCACCTCAATTATTTTATTAATTATTTACAATTACACCTTATTCTTTAGTCATTTAATTTTTGGCTAGCATTTTTTCGTTTGTCTATATAGGTTATTTTTTTTTAATTTTAAGATACAATAGTATAGACTTTAAAATTTAGGAATGGTTTTAAAAAACTTATTTAGAACTGAAATTTTTCACATATTACAAAAATCAAAACGTACAAGAAACTATCATATATTGTATATAGTAAAGTACAAAATTTATAAGAAAGTTGTAAAGTAAATAAGCAGTCAATGAAATATTAAATTATTTCAAAACAAACGTTACTAATTTAAATCATGCTTTAGTCCTCCAAATTTGTCGGACTATCCCTACCCCATTGGTCATTTCCTACGATGCCTAGTAGCAAACGTAGAATGTAAATAACCAAAATTTTGTACGAATACTATTTTTTCATATTTAGGGCATGCTGTTTACTTTGTAAAAAAAAAAAAACATGCACTATTTAATAAAATGACATTACACGAATAATAATATAATTAATGGGCAAAATATTGAAAAATCTGAACCTCTTTTTTTACAACTATTTTGCCTTTTTAACAAGAGTTATTTAATATGAATAACATATCACAGTTTTTTTTTTTTTTTGAAGAAATATAACATATCACAGTTTGTTTTCATTAAAAACACTTATCATGATTTTACAAATATCATAGCTAGTGAAGTTATGTTTTAAGAGAAAACAATATTCGATTCGTATTCTTTTAAAAAGGAGTAGAATCTATGATCCGGTAAGGTCGCATTGCACACGCGAACATGAAGATAACGTAATGGACCAATGATTATTTTTATTTTTTGTCACAAGACCAATGATAAAATGACAAATTAGACAACATCCTAAGTTTTATATGATTCCCAAATGGACCCATCTCTGCTTTTCTTTATGTTTGAGAATATGCATTTTTGCTACCAACACTTGCAAACGCATGCGTGCGTGGAAGGTACTTTACTTGTTTTGGATGCTAACTAAAGGTGATATATGAACATGAGACCCCGAACTCATATGTCATGATTTTTACCACTTTTGATTTTTAGTTTCTATATGTTTTAGTTTTTTATTCAGTAATTTCAGGTCAACGGATGATTTGGAGCAAAATTGGAGTTTTTGACGAAAATCATGTCATTTTAAGATAAAAATGTTGTTTCATTTTTATTTGTTTTTTAGTTTTCATGAGCAGGTATGAAAATGTTGTTTCATGCATGCAGAAGCGTCTAAAACTTGGCATTCCTATTAGAGACCTTCTGATTTTGTTTTATTCTCACTCTCAATCAAAGCTGATGTAAAACGTTAATTTTTTTTTTGAATATAATTTAACATTTTATTTAAAAAAAAGAAAAGACATTGTGGTAGTTTTTCAAAAAAAAAAAACGTTAGCTGAGTTTTTTTTCTGTGGTGGTTTCAAATCATTTTCAGTTATGGTTTCGAAAATTTGAAAACATGTCATTCTAAAATCTGAAACAGATTCAAGAACCTGTGCGAATGTGCGATCGACAAACCCTTAAGTGTCTATTGATTTTGGCCCAAAAGATGAAGAAACGGAAATTAAAAAAAAAAATCAAGTTGTGGTATCAACTAACAACCTTTCCCAACGCGAAAATAAATCTTCTCTAAACCTATATATAGTTATCTTCAGTGTCTTCTTATAGCTAAACTTGTTTTTTTTCATACTTACTACGTACACATCTAAGATAAGGAGAAGATCTCGAAACCTCTTATGATATATTTGAAGTAGATTTCTTAACCTTCTTATTTATCTATTGAATTTCATTATGTTTTCTTTCATATATATATATGTACTAGACTACGCTTTGATCCGTTTGAAGATTTTTTTTCTTAGTCTAGTACCGCTCTTGTGATTACAGTACTATAGATAGTTCACTAATCACTATGAGTCAATTTTATATTTTGTTCCTCTTTTTCATTTTTCTTTTACTATATTTTGTCTCTCTGTGACTCTGACTTATAAATACATATACAATACTTGGGCCCTTAAACACATAAGACTAACCGAGCTTATAGCCTTGCCGCGCGTAGCACCACCACTCAACCCCATTCTATATGGTTGAGTTTATCCTTATTGTTAAAGACTCCAACTTTTCTCAACATCTTTCTAAAATATTAAAACCAAGAGAGTTTCATTTTATTGATAACAAAAGAGAACAAAAAAAGACCGACCAAGAAATAGCGATTACATCACATGCATTTTAAAGTTCATCTTATTAAAACTCATCAAACACCTCTTTAGTCATAAGGATGTTTGATTGATGGAAAGAAAAGTAGAAATATTTAAACGGAGACGATGTTGGTCACAGAGACCTTCACCATTTCAGCTTCAAAGATAATGGCATCATTCACCAAATACCCTTTCGATGCATCATTTAATTCTGCTAGCGATATGATAGTGTTAACTCCCACACCATAATCGCTTCGAGTAGGGTACCAAGCTGCAGCTGCAAAAAAAGAGAAACAAAAAACAATTTATATCAACTATTAATTTCATTTAAACACTCGTGGAGACTAACATTTTTTACTTTTTTGTTTGGTTAGTACTTACAATATATTTGTGCGTGGTTGGAGTTTCGTTGATTCTTTAACCGCAGATTAACCGCTCCCCAAGTGTTTGTAACAACTGCATTTGGCTTATGACCTTGAGCATATAGGAAGATTGGGATTGCTTGTGATCTTCCATCTCCAGTACCTTTTGGGTTAAATCCTAATCTCCTGATTATAGATCAACCAAAAACCGTTATTATACTTGACTAAAAACCGTTATTATACTTGACTACTGCGGAATTCACATAACATATGCAATCTTTAAGATTTTTTAGACTTCGATCTAAAAGATATGGTTAACAATAGTACTAACCAGTATCGGTCTTCAACCAGAAAATCATCAGAGTAATAGACTCTATCTTCCAAGATAGAGAAATGAAGTATCTTCCAAGTGAAAACATTGTTTGGAGGGTTTGATATGAATGTGATTTTCTCTTGTACCTGGACCGGTGTACCGATGAAAATCTCAGCACCAAAAGAAGCAGTGTCCTGCTCAAGGTAACCTTGGTTCGTGTCAAGGAATGTTGGAAGAGGAATCAATTTTCCGTATCCCCACTCTTTTTTCGCATCGTTGTATCGTTTCACTATTCCATCTACAATCCACAATTTTGCAAAAACATGCAAGTCAAATCCATGGAAAAACTCAGACTAATATTTAAAATCTACAATTACCAAGCTAAGTAAAAGTAGCAAGTTATCTATCAATATATAATGGATGTAGTAAAATTCCACAAACATCTAAACAACCTGTAACAGTCAAATACTTGCGTTGCTTCCCATTGTAGACAAAGAGTTTGAGTTCAACATTGACTTCCCAGCCTCTTGGAAGAGATTCTGTCTCTTCGATCCTTACGTAAAGTGAAATATGATTATTTCCACCATCGTTTTGATTACCATTCACGTACAAAACTAATCTCCTGATTCATTTTTAATTTCACATCAAAATAAACTCAAATATATATATGTAAAAAGTGAACAAAAAATTATGGAAGTGTAGTTCTTTACCATTTGTAACCACCGGCCTCAAAGACAGAGGATTCATAGGGTTCTTCTCTCCCTTTAATCACGGAGAAACTTGTTATTGTCACAATCTTATTCGATGGTCGCTCATCTCTCCAAATTCCTGTCACTCCAGTTAAAAAAAAATCTAAAAAAAAATTCCAAGAAAATCAAGAAATTGGTTTTAGTGTTTAACTAAGAAACTCATTTTATTTACCACCTCCTTGCCCCTGATTTCCGCCGCCTGTCCCTGAGCCACAACCAGGACCAGGACCTCCTCCTCCGCCATAACCAGGACCAGGACCTCCTCCTCCACCATAACCAGGACCAGGACCCCATCCTCCGCCATAGCCAGGACGAGGACCTCTTGGGCCGCCACCATACCCAGGACCAGGACCATGACCAGGACCTCCTCCTCCACCATAACCAGGACCTCTTGGGCCGCCACCATAACCAGGACCAGGACCACCAGGACCTCCTGGGCCGTGGCCACCAAAACCAGGACCTCCTGGGCCGCGGCCACCAAAACCAGGACCTCCTGGGCCGCGGCCACCAAAACCAGGACCTCCTGGGCCGCGGCCACCAAAACCACGACCGCCTCTACCAGGGCCACCACCACAACCTCCTCTATTCATAGGATTGGATTAAACGTGATCGGGAAAGACTTGAGTGACTTACCTCGTAAGAAAATTTCAGAATATGTTTTTATGAGTTTTCTTGAACTAGTGAACTAACTAAATCGAATGTTATACCTTTTTTTTTTTTTTGAAGAAAACGAATGTTATACTCCACCATTTAAAAAGCCAAAGGATTTGTCCAAAAAAGAACCAAATGTAAAAAGTCTCTGTATAAAAATTAAAACAGCTTTAAAAATAAAATAAAATAAAAAAAAAAACCTGTTGAATTAGGAATTCAGCGCAAGAGGAATTGATGAAGAAAAAAACGAGAGTTATGAAACCATATTTTTGAGATCTGCTTTTTTTCTTTCATGGAAAGGCCTTCATTTATAGACAGAAACGAATCTTTTTCTTTTAGGCAAACAAGACGAATCGTGTACATTACTTATTGACCGAGTACATAGTTACAAATATAAAAAGACTGAATGTGGATATATCGTGCCATAAAGTACTATAATATATGACTACATACATTGTTATTAGTGTCGTGCCTAGCTTTAGAGAGGCTCAAGGCAAAAATAAAAATTGTGGCCTTTTTATAATTTTCTTTTAAAGAATTTTCATTCAAAACATGCTACACAATAATTAAAAATTATAATATCGAAATTTTAAACATGAATTTTTTTATTTTTTTTTAACTCTCAAAATTCATATTTGATAGTTTTCTAATCAATATTTTCACTATAACTATGATTATTTATTAAAAAAATATGGCCTTTAAATTTTATTTTGTTAAGGTGGCCTTAAGCAATTGCCTATTTTATTAAGCATGACGCACATCACTTATTGTTATTAGAGATATTATTGTTTGACTTTGAATGTAATCACCACATTGTTATTAGAGATACTCCACAAAAAATCACCATCTACTCCTTCGAGATAACTAACCTAGCTCATACGGTCTCGCGTACGTACTTGGCCAACTTCCTTCTTTGCCTTCCAAAATCTCTTAGCTTCACATCTTTAGCTCATTTTTGCAACGTCTTGATGTGTTGCTACTCATGTCTTCCTTTTTAAACCCTGACTCTCAATCTTCTCTTCACTTCTCTACTCAAATTTTGAATAAAAACAATCTATTTTCCTACGAGAAGTATCACATCATAATAGATCTACACTAACCTCATGCTAAATATCTCCGAAATCAAAATTCGAAACCTGTATCCCCCCAAATTAAAAGTTCGAAATCTAAATCTAAATCTCCGTAAAATAGTTCTAAACATATCTCTCCATAGAATTCGATTTTAATTGGTTTATTGCTTTCTAAACAAACCTAACCAACTAAAAGCAATTCTAAACCGAAATTAAACTGACTACAACCCGATTAACCACTAACCCAACCCGGAAAAACCCATTCGACCCAACTTCTCCTTCTTCATCCAAATTTTTCATTCTTACAATTCCATTGATTTCATTTTCTTGTTTTGATTTCTGCTACCTAAAAAGAATCATAAAAATATTAAATTCATTTCATTTATCAATCCAAACCGATATATAAATTCGTTTAATTACAAAATCTAAACATTAATCATTTTTTGTTATCCCAAAACGATATTTAACCTCGTTTAATTGTAAAATTTAAACTCTAACCGTTCTTTATAAATCCAAACCAATATTTAATCTCGTCTAGTTGTAAAATCTAAACCCGTTTATAAACTCAAACCGATATTTAACCTCGTTTAATTATAAAATCTAAACCATAACCGTCATTTATAAATCCAAACCGATATTTAACTTCGTTTTAGTGGCAGAATAGATTTTATAATTAAATGAGTTTCCCTTTATTATTACTAGGACTCAGGACCCCCGCGATGTCGCGGGGGAATATATTCAAAAATCATTTAAAAAAATATCAAACGAAAAAATCATAATGAATTGTAATAATTTTGAATTTTTTTAATAACAAATCAATATATATTTTACAAAAATTATGATAAAGAAAACCCTCACAAGCATTTATTAAGTATATTAATATTAGAAAAACAATAATTTGTAACTAAAAAACTATTCCCAAGTGCAAAAAGCATAAACTAATAAACCAAATATTACAATGGTTTGATAAATAAGCCAAAACGTTCAACGTCAAATAAACCAAATGCTATTGTGTTAAATTAAACGGTGACAACAATTCATTTAAATATATTTTAGTATTTGAATATTTTTTAAAAATATGACGAACTTATCCGAGAAACGCAACCGTAGATATCAAATATTCCAAAAACTGCAACGGTTCGTCAATTATACCAAAGGTTGCAATAGTTCATCAAATATACTAAAGATAACAATGGTTCGTAACACAAAACCAAAAGTTGCAATAATTCGTCAAATAATCCAAATGTTGAAACAGTTCAATTAAATAGTTACAATCTCATTTAAATACATTTTAGTAATTAAAAATTAAGAATTAAAAAAATAATTTATGAAAAGTTACACCGAGAGACATGGCGATAGATAATTAAATGTTATAGCTGTTTATAAAATAAACCAAAAATTGCAATTGTTTGTGAAATAAACTAAATATATAAACCAAAGGTTGCAATTGTTCGTAAAATAAACTAAATATATAAACCAAAGGTTGCAATTGTTCGTAAAATAAACTAAATATTGCAATGATTCGAATAAGCGGTTTCAACTGTTTATGAAGAGTTACAATAAAAAATGCAACCGTAGAAAACATTCAGAATGCAATTTATATATATAAAAAAAACATAACCGTAAAATATATATTTTAATAATAAAAACATTAACGAAAAGTTGCGATAAAAAGACGCAACCGTTCAGATGTGCAAATTATATTTATTAGATTGCTATTATATATAGATTATTATTAAGTGGCAGATTCTGATTGCTTAGAAAAAGATGAGGTGTATAAAAAGATTCATCCTTATGGGTGAACCCAATTATTTTCTAAATAAAAATCATTTGTAGCAACTTATTTTTTGTTTTTTTTTTTTATATTCTTTGTACTCACTAATTAATAAGTCTTCTAAATTCTTGAGAATATGAACCAACTAACTAACAGAATATCACCTAAAAATAGTATAAAGAAAGAGTAACATATTTTGTTGTATTTTAACAAAAAAAACAACTGGCATTGAAGAAACCAATAGGATTTGTTATAATAAGTCATTACCAAAACAAAAAATAGAAAGAAAAAACGGATATGCATGGCAAAACAAATACAATTTCTGTTTGTTAAGATGAAACATCCTTCAACGTCCTTACGCGTCATCATCATCCTTACATGGAGGTTCTCGATCTTCTTCTCCCAATCATTCTTCCTTAATCCATTTTCTCTTCTCTATCTCTATCCAAATCCCCTAACAATTCTCCCAAAACATATCTTCTCAATTTGATATCTATTGTTCGTTTGTTTCCTTTCTCCCATTCTTGGATCTGCTGAGGAAGCCACAAAGGGCTTTGTTCACGAGCCTCTTAAGAAAACCCCTATACCATCAATTGGTTGACATGTTAAACTACTATTTAGGTTAGAATTTGTTATCTTTTGTGTGCAAAATTTGAGAAACGATCATGTCATTTAGATCACATTCGACAGGGAGTAGTCAATTCGCAGAGAAGATAACAGAGGATCCTGTAACGTATAAGACGGCACAAAGTACCGTGACGTGCATTTACCAAGCGCATATATCCGGATTTTGGAGGAATGTTACGGTATTGTGGTCCAAGAATGTCATGAACCATTCGCTTATGGTCATGGTGACTAACGTGGAAGGCGATATGAATTATTGTTGTAAGGTTGATCTTAAGCCTTGGCATTTTTGGAACAAGAAAGGCTATAAGTCGTTTGAGGTGGAAGGTAACCCGGTAGAGGTGTATTGGGATTTTAGGTCTGCGAAATTCACGAGTAGTCCAGAGCCGAGCTCAGATTTTTACGTGGCTTTAGTCTCGGAGGAAGAGGTGGTTTTGCTTGTGGGTGATTACAAGAAGAAGGCTTTCAAGAGAACAAAGTCAAGGCCCGCTTTGGTAGAGGCTGCCTTGTTCTACAAGAAAGAAAACGTGTTTGGCAAGAAGTGTTTTACGACGAGGGCTAAGTTTTACGACAGGAAAAAAGAACACGAGATCATCGTGGAAAGCTCGACCTCGGGGCCTAAAGAGCCAGAGATGTGGATAAGCATAGACGGGATTGTGTTGATACAAGTCAAGAATTTGCAATGGAAATTCAGAGGGAATCAGACAGTGCTGGTAGATAAACAACCCGTTCAAGTGTTTTGGGATGTTTATGATTGGTTGTTCAGCACGCCAGGGACAGGCCATGGTTTGTTCATATTCAAACCAGGGACCACCGAAGACAGCGACATGGAAGGAAGTGGTCACGGTGGTGGTGGGAGCGATACAAGTACAGGGAGCAGGTATTATTCGACCAAGAGTAGTAACCCTTGGCCACCGGAGTTTTGCCTTTTTCTTCATGCATGGAAACTTGAGTAGTATAGTTCTTGGAAACAAGAAGCTTTTGTCTATTATTGTTGTTCCATGTGGCTATAAATCTTATCTTGTTCTTCATCCTTTAATTTATTGACAAATGACAACATCACAGACTCACAGTCATGACTTCAAACAACAATGTTATGCCGTAGAAATATTTGTAATGCTCCGATTGCACGTTACAATTTTTTTCTACCAAACAGCTTTTCTTGTCGTTTTTTTTGTCTTATTTATTTTTATTTTTTTTCAATCAAGAATTTGTGAACTTTTGATTCAAATTAACAAAACCAAAACCAAACATTATTGTATTTCCATGAACAACCATTAAAAACTAAAAAATATAAGCAAATATCATTTCTGCGGAATTTAACTGAATAGTAAATCCACAATTAATTTACTCCCATAATGATTGTGAGAGTATATAAATCCACATTTGCGTTATGGAATTTATTTGACTTTCATAAGAATGAAGTTAAATATACATTTATTTATATATGAATATAAATAACTTAAGTTTAAAAATATAGATATATAAACGTAAATAACTTATTTACAAATCATATATATGAAAATTGGATAACTCTCTCCATATGAATGACACATCAACAACTGAAGAGAAAACATGTGTACTTCTCAAAATTAATAACATAAATATTAATAAATAATACATTAATTAATTATGTGACTTCCATTTTCTTTTGCCGTTTCTTAAGCACTACATTTGAGTTTTATAACAATCTTGTCTTTTCCTCTTCCACTTCCACCATGGAGTTTTCAATCTTGAATTTTGTTAGGTCTCTAACACCGAGAACATAACGAAAACCTTTTGCAATTTTCTATTGTTTATTTCGAATACAATTTGATGTATTTTTTTGTTAATTTTGAATGTTTTAAAAAGTTTTAAATATTATAAAACGGTTTAAACCATCAAAAAATAAAGTAGAATGGAAAAGGTTTATATATCATATATTCATATTAGATTTTGTGATGTATATTTGTTAACTACACAAAAAACATCGCACAAGATGTAAAAAAAAGAAAAAGAACATCACATAATCAAACTATGCTAATAGTTTTCATCCAACCAAAATAATAAGTAAGTAATTATAGTAAATGTAAGGGCAAATGTAAAGGGACATAAAATTTCAAAAAAACTATTTTACATTATTTTCTTTTAGCTATTTTAAAAATATTTATTTCATATAGCAGTATTGTAGTTAACTTTCTTAACATAAATCGTTAATAATCTGAACAATTAGAAAGAAGATATATATATATATATATATATATATATACATAATATACATATATCAAACATGATATATAGAAAAATGAATATAGAAAAACCCGCAGCATAACACGGGTATTCACCTAGTGTATAAGAAAAGAAGGATATGTGATGTGCTTAAGTTGTACATGATACATATGCATAATTAATATGATCAAGCTGTTCATCAATAGGGACAAGAGGTTATGTTGACTTCCTTCAACGGAATAAGTCTCAACAAGAAGAGAAAGAAGCTCTTTCTCAGGTTAGTGATCTACAGATTCTGTACTTTTGATTCTTAATGTGCTGCTTAATGGTCAAATCTATTGGAACTTTCTTTTTTTGAGCTGTTGGTTTTGTGTTAATTTTGTTGGCTGCAAATTGTCATATGTGGTAATTGTCATTTATATTGAATGTGAGTTAGATCTTATTCAATTGGATTTCGTAGGTTGATTCTGATTCATGTTGTTTTGTTATACTCTGAATGTGGATGAACCTTACCAACTTTCTGGTTTGCTTTTTCCACCGTCTTCTTCCTTTCCTCCGGCGTTTAGCATCCATCCTCGCCGCTGCAGCTTTTTCCGGTGATGCTTTTTCTTCCTCCTTTTCCGGCGTTTGTTTTTCTCTCTTCGATTACTCTCACAAGACCAGCCTCTCATGAAGAAATGTACCCGTTTTCACCGAACCTGGTTTTCTCTCTCGTGGTGGCTTGTACAGACGGTGTGGTGGCTTGTACGGACGGTGACGAAATGATGCTTTTGGATCCCCGACAATAGATCTGAGCTCCTCTCGTTCTCCCCTACCCATCCATTATAATTTTTCCCTTCGATCTACTCTAAATGGGCGTAGATCTTCATTGTCTTTCATCTTCTTCACCAAATAGAGATTTTTTCTTAGAGATGATGATTCTCTTATCTCTCGTAGTCTCACTCCATGACGAATCCGTAGAATAATTCTAGCAATTGCTAAGTTTTGATGATGTGTGAGACTTTTTACTCTCGGATGTTCTTGGCCGAAGGAAAAATTACCATATTCACAAGATTCCATAAGTTTGTTGTTTTATTCCGACGGTGCGGCTTGCCGCCGTCAAGACAATTCTCTGGCTTGGCCACTAAACTTCTCTTGCCGGTTGTCACGACCATAGCTGGTCCCTTCTCGGCCTCCATGGCTGAAGATTTTTGTTCGCGGAAGCTCTCCTTTGCACCCTCCTTCCACCGGTTGACTCGTATACCGGTGAGACAAGCGTTGGCTTTGTTGATGCACGAATCACACAAGTACGAAATAGGGTTTCTCTAGGGAAGTAAAAAGAATCTCCCAAAACAATACGAGCCGAGAATACAAATGACGTTAAACGAGCCGGAATGGATGACTTCGGACTAGAGGTTCCGAGTCGTTTTTGGTGCCGAACTGTATGTCGTTTTCCGAGCTAAATGAAACTTGAGGTCGTTTTCCTTCTAGACTGAGATCGTTCTTCGTATCCTAGCCGAGTTCTTCGTGTCCTTGCCGAGCTCTTTGTATCCTTGCCGTGTCAGCGTGATTTCCCCTGGATGTGACAGGACTGGTCGTCATGCTTTTATAACCCTGTCGGGTAGGGCACACTCTGACGGTCTTTTCCGTCTTTGCCCTTGAATGTGATGACGTGGCGAGCCTATAAGGCGGCGAGATCTTCTGGGCTCTTCCGTTCGTGGGCCTGGATCGTCTCGAGACTTTATGGGAATGGGCCTTCTTTCTTGAATTGGGCCTTGTATCCCTAAAGCCCAATTCTTCCCTCAACAGTTGCCCCCCAATCATGATCCATCGTTTCTTGCGAGGGTCATGATTGCTTTCCTTATTCCCGATGCGCGTGTGAGGTCGACCCTCTTTCGCATCGTTTTAGGTTACCGAGTTTAAATGACGCGCGCGCGTGTGAGGGACTCGAGAATTGATTCGGCCGACGCTGCTTCCAATGTTCGGAGATCGAAGCGTCTCTCGCGTGTGAAGCCGTTTTAGGTCGTAATTATCGCCTAACTTCATAGGTGTGATGATTACTTTTTTCCGCCCTTTTGCTTCTATAAATACTTCTATCCTCCTCGTTCATTTCTCATTCTTCCTCCTCTGCTAAAGGTATAATCCTCTCCTCTCTATTTCGATTTCTTTCATCCCTTCTCTCTTTTTATTACGATGTCGTCCGACGCTAGCTCTCGCGGGTCGGTTTCCAATCATCTCCGCTCTCGTACATCGTCGGATTCTTCAGATCGTACGCCAAATGTTGATCGATTTCGAGCGAATTCTTTCGATGACGACCTGGAATCTGACTCTCTCCCCCGTAGGAGGAATTCATCTAGATCGTCTGACGCTGGGTCGTGGGCATCTGCAGCCGAGCTGAAGCGTCGTGAATCGTCTTCTCAGCGTGACTTTGTTGGGGCGACCTCGATTGTCCCCTTTGTCCCGCGTTTGATTGACGAGGATATCGGCGATATTAAGGTTGACGAACCGGAAGTGGAGATTGGCTATGCCGACATGCCTTTTGGCGTTCCGGGGCCGTCCCCCTATCATGTCGATTTTTTGGGGCCGAGCCGGACTATCGTCGAGACCCTTCACTATACTCTTCACTACTGCGATGCTCCATCTTCGATAGAAGTTCGCATCCCGACCCCATCTGAGCGACCTTGGTCTGCTCCAGACGGCTTCATCTGCGTCTATGAGAGCTTCTTTACGGAGTGCGGTCTCACATTTCCGATTCCGAGCTTCCTGCTTGAGTATGTAGCGAGGCGGGAGATGGCGCTTTCTCAGCTTTCTGTTGCTGCCATCCGGAATGCGATAGGCCTGGTTCGGCTGGCGAATAGATGCGGCGTGGTTGTCCGTTCTTCTCACTATGAGGAGGTGACTAAGATTAAGAGTCTTAACAAGAAAAAGCCGGGCTTACACTATGTTCAGTCATCTACGACTCCCAAGCTCGTCGATGAGGCCAAGAGTAAGACCAACGACTGGTCGGCGGGATACTTCTTCGTTCGGATTTCTGCGGAATCTGTTGAGGACGTTAGGGTCCCGATCTATACAGGGTGGAAAATTTCACCCGGTAGCTTGAGCTCGTCTTCCGACCTCACACTTCTTCCTTTGTTGCTTCCGATTTTCTTACGTCTTGCTTTTTTTATGCAGCTCGTTTCCCGACGATATTTGATCCATTTCCCGAGCAGCTCAAGAAGGATCTCGAAAAGATTCGCGCCGAGGGTACGTATATCTGGCCATCTACACACAAAGTTGCTCGTCGCCCTTCTCGGAATCCTTCGCGTGGTCGCCAAGGTTCTTCTCGTCGAGGGTCTGTTCGTCAAAGTTCCAAAGTTTCTGCTCTTCAAAATCCAGGTAACGCATATACGTCGTCCGCTTCTGCGGGTTTTTGTTTCTTTGGCTTATATTATTTCTTGATTTCAGGTCGTAAAGAAATGGGTAAGTTTGATCTTAGCGTGGTCCCGGATTACGCCAGTCGTTACAAGGAGAAGAGGCCGGCCGCGGAGACTCCCGTGGCGAAGCCATCTCATTCAGAGGAGCGACAGATGAGGGAGGCCCTGAAGAAGAGTCTCCTAGATCAGGGAGGGCGTCAAGCCTTCCAGGCCGGTAGTTCTCGGCCGTTGAGCCCTAACTCTGAGAGGGTAAAGAAGAACGAGATGCTCGCAGCTCGTTTGACTCAGCAGGCTGGTGGGGGCGACCGAGTTGCGATCCTTCCTTCTGGTGGTGATTCCCGAGCCGTGGGAGTCCTGAATGACTCAGTCGAGCTTCTGACCAGGAAGAGGCCGGCCGATACAGGAGCCCGTCCGACTGCCCAGAAGAGGCCCCGAGTCGCCGACCACCGGTGGTCGTATCGCTACGTTGATAGGGATGTTCCCTTTACGTCTAACGCGGACGCCTGCGCGGCCCTATTCTGTGAGATGGGTCACGGCCCCGGCTCGTTCCCTCTTATTGAAGATCTTCGGGAGCGGGATGCGTACACCGAGGCGGCCAGGAAGTCATGCGAGGTTATTATTATTCTTGTATATATATATTTTTTTCGTTTTTAAACCTGTTACCTTTCCTCGGTCGATTGTTTATATATATTTTTTGGTTAGGCGACCTTCGCGATGAACCGCATGGTCCATCTCTACGAGCGCCGAGTTCGTCGGCTTTCGACCGAGAACCCAAATTCGAATGATTATCAGGCTGCTATTGCTGCCGAGAAGGAGCGTGCAGATCAGGTCTCGCGAGAGTTGGGTGTTGTTAAGGACGAGGCGGTGAAGCTTAGGGAGAAGGTCAACCTCCTCGATCATCATAGGAATGGGCTGATTGCGGAGAGGGACCGTTTGAGCGCCGAGGTGGAGGCGGAAAAGGCTCGGTATGACGAGCTTGTTGTGATCCTCCGCTCCGAAAAAGCCAGACTGCGAGAACGTCGTGCTGAGTATGGCGAGTACTGTAGAGGTAAAGCTCTTGCGAAGATGGCCCGGCTGTTCCAGGCTCGTCTCACCCGTCTACAGGCTCACGTTGAGGATACCCGTGCCGCACAGCCCACTCTTCTGCTTTACAACCAGGCGGTCGGGAATCTCGGTTTTCTGAAAGCTCTAGTGGAAGACGGCGAGGTCACCGTTAAGTCGGAGGAAACGCTTTCCAGGATTGAGGCCGACGTGGCGCAGTATAGAGCTGATCTTGCGGCCTTCGACGTGACTGAGCTTCAGGACGGTGACTTTGACGCCTATACCCTCTTTGCGGATCGGGACGAGGTTACTGAAAACCTTCAGTATGCCGCCTCGGCTGCCAGTGGTAGGGAAGGCGTTGTTGATGACGAGGTCGAGGAGGATGCCGTTAATCAGGATACTCAGCAGGAGGTCGTTGTCGAAGCTCGTGAGGCCGGGACCGAACTTCAGGACGGGGGTGGTCTTGGGACCGAGGCCACAGGCGCTGAGCGGACCGACGGCGATCAGGAGGCTCCACGGGTGGTTATTCCGTTATCGCAGGTTGTCCAGGACGGGGAGGACGTTGATATCGAAGGTTGACCGCGAGGTCGTTATTTTTAAAGTTGTTTTCGTTTTGCCGTGCATGACGGCTTTATCTAGTTGCCGCTTTGTTGGCTTTTGAACTTGTGCCGTTAATTCGGCTTTTACTTTGAACCTTGATTGCCGCTAGGTCGGCTTATTTTATGTAGTTTTCGCCAGTTATTTCTTCTTCTCCTTCCATTTTAGCCTGTGTTCTTCATGGGGCGGCTCCCGTGTAGGACGGGACGCGGCCGGTTTCTGTGTAAACCTGGTCGTGATTGGCTTGGTGCGAGTTCACCGAGCCGATGCGAGGCCTAGATTTCTTTGGTTGTCGGTAGGCTTGGCCGGTTGGGAATTCGAATCCGACCTTGGCCTATGTTTATTCCGTCGATATAATGCAAGTGCCGGACTTGGCTTGTGCGAAGTTTACCTACTTCGGCTTTTTTTGAGTTTGCTCAAAGTGTTCGAGACGGGCTCGAGACATCGTGAGGTGCGACGCGCGGTGATCGGCTTACCCTGTATTGACCTGACGAATTTCTAGGAGTGCGGGTTCGTCCCCGGCTTACGTTGCCCAGTTCATCGAGGCTTTGCGAGTACGGAGCTCGGCTTTCAGACCCTTAAGTGTAGGTTTTTTCCAAGACTTTTTTACTTGTTTTGGCAGACTTAAGTAAGGGTGTGCGTTCTCGTTCGAACGTGTTCGATCGAATTGCCTGGCCAGGGTATCGATGTATATTTCGGTTCGGTTGTATTTCGAAATCAGATGAAAATATAAAATTTTATTAATATCACAGCTGCGCCCCGTAAGTAGGGCTGCCTACGTACCCCCTGGTCGGAGGGATCAAGCCGTTCGTAGTTCACATTACATAGAGAGGCATCGGTAAGGCCGTTTTTTTTTTTTTTTTTTTTTTTTTTTTTTTTTTTTTTTTTTTTTTTTTTTTTTTAATAAGGAGATCGAGGTCGTCAGTAGTAGTATCGCTTGAGGTGCATCGAGTTCCAAGTTCGTGGGACTTCGATGCCGCTCATGGTGAGGAGTTCGTAGTCGCCGGGACGAACTATCTTCGAGACTTGATACGGCCCTTCCCAGTTCGCTCCTAGTTTGCCGGCGTTGATTTCAGCTGTGTTTTCGAAGACCTTCCTGAGTACAAGGTCGCCGACGTCGAAGTGGCGGTTGTGTACTTTCTTGTTGTAGTATCGGGCGGCAGCAAGCTGATAGTTTTGAACTCGGCACAGTGCGGTGTTGCGTACTTCCTCAAGTTCATCGAGTCTGTC